GTGCTTTTAATACAAATTTAGTGAAATCTTTATTATGGACTTCAACTTTTATTTACCTAGGTCCTCACATTTAACTTGATCCAAACAGGCCGTTACACGAGGGTCATTTATACAACACATTTTGCACATATTGTCTGAGATAATCTTATTTTCTGTAGATTCAGAGTTCACAAATGAGTAATACAACTGGGTTAAAGCATAGAAACACAAATATTGACACAGGAAAACCTGTCACATAGAAAGTCAGAATGCCACTTATGCATCAAAATTGAAAAAGCTTTGAAATGCTTATTTTGACCATATAATGCCAAAATGGGTAATTTTTGCAGAATTTCTATCAAATAAAAGTTTAAATCCTTTAGTTTCATGCTATCTGACAAATTGACACCATTATATCATTCAGGGAAGTTGCCAAAGTACAGATTCTATATTTACTGATTTCGCCTCTTAGGTCCGAGTACACAGTTATTTCGTAGTGCATTTCTTTTAGACAATAAATGAAAATAAAAAAAATCCCACCTGCGCTTTCTCAATAATATTTTTACAGTGTGTTGTACTACTTTTGGGACAAATTATATCAAAATTATAGAAAACTTCATCGGCTCTAACTCAAAATATGGACAATTCTATGTTAAGGGGGTCTTGAAATCTTTTGACAGCTTCCGAAGTGCTAATTTTTAACCTTTTTCAGCTGGACCAAATCACTACTTTACTTTACAATTCATGACCCAAATTTTTTTACAGTGTAATTTCATCCCCCTACTTGCTATTTGAGGCATAAAACATGAAGGAATACATTTGGAAGGGGTACTAAAAAAATTGGCAAGCAACACACTGTCCACACTAGGGACTTTATTCGTGGACAACGAAAATCAAAGGACGATAACTGTGTACTCGGACCTAATAGGATAGAAAAATTTGGCCAATCTTAATAAAACTTGGTATGACTAAAGCTTAATAAATTATGAGACTGCTGACAAAGTTTCATGGCAATAGGATATATATTATAGACAATATGATAAATTCTATATTCAACTTCGCGTGTTAAATTTTGACGTTTAAATTGAAAAATTTCAACTATCAACATTTGGGGCTATAAAAATTAAAATATTGCAAAAAATTACATTTTAAAGGCCTTAATATATGACATATTATGTATTTAAAGCAATAGAATACTCATTTGATTTATCAGACTTATCAAAATTATTTAAAAGTCAAATTTATATGAGCCTGTGCCAAAAAATGGAGGTTTTCCAATGAAGGGGGGCCTTACATGAAGATGTATTATTTTCCAGCAATTTTAAATTTGTGGAGTTTTTTGGTTATAAATAATCCTTACATATGTATTAAATGTACTTTAAATGGAAAGAAAAATTACAAATAGCATACCATATTAGTATAAAAGGGTCTTAAGCCAAGTAAGACTGAAAATAATTTAGGGTCAATTTAGGCCGTAGCACATATTTACATTTAAAAATGCATACTGAAGCTATAGGAAATAAAAATTTGTGTCTTTTTTATAATTTCTATACTCAGGTTACATGATACAATAAATCTGAGCATAAAAGGACTCTTGCATTCAACTTTTTTTGCAGACAGTATGGTCTGATACAAAGATTTTTCATTTTTTAGTGAAAAACTTGCATGCAATTTTAGCCTCAGCAGGCTTATATTTGAACCACTTGCTATTTAACATAAGAAAAGAAAGATACTATGTGAAATGAAACAGGTACAAAAGACATTGTGAAGTGCTTTTAATACAAATTTAGTGAAATCTTTATTATGGACTTCAACTTTTATTTACCTAGGTCCTCACATTTAACTTGATCCAAACAGGCCGTTACACGAGGGTCATTTATACAACACATTTTGCACATATTGTCTGAGATAATCTTATTTTCTGTAGATTCAGAGTTCACAAATGAGTAATACAACTGGGTTAAAGCATAGAAACACAAATATTGACACAGGAAAACCTGTCACATAGAAAGTCAGAATGCCACTTATGCATCAAAATTGAAAAAGCTTTGAAATGCTTATTTTGACCATATAATGCCAAAATGGGTAATTTTTGCAGAATTTCTATCAAATAAAAGTTTAAATCCTTTAGTTTCATGCTATCTGACAAATTGACACCATTATATCATTCAGGGAAGTTGCCAAAGTACAGATTCTATATTTACTGATTTCGCCTCTTAGGTCCGAGTACACAGTTATTTCGTAGTGCATTTCTTTTAGACAATAAATGAAAATAAAAAAAATCCCACCTGCGCTTTCTCAATAATATTTTTACAGTGTGTTGTACTACTTTTGGGACAAATTATATCAAAATTATAGAAAACTTCATCGGCTCTAACTCAAAATATGGACAATTCTATGTTAAGGGGGTCTTGAAATCTTTTGACAGCTTCCGAAGTGCTAATTTTTAACCTTTTTCAGCTGGACCAAATCACTACTTTACTTTACAATTCATGACCCAAATTTTTTTACAGTGTAATTTCATCCCCCTACTTGCTATTTGAGGCATAAAACATGAAGGAATACATTTGGAAGGGGTACTAAAAAAATTGGCAAGCAACACACTGTCCACACTAGGGACTTTATTCGTGGACAACGAAAATCAAAGGGCTATATCGAGTGGGTGATAAACATGTCGGTATCTTTATATTTTCATCATTTTCTTCTGATCGAATTGTTATCCTGGGGATGCTGATTTTATATCAAGTAGAGTGTGCACTCTCCTCATATAACCTCCTTGATGAAATCAAACAAAGTTCAATTTTGGACCCTTTGGATCTCAGTGTAGACCAATTTAAAAATGGGGCCCAATATTCAAAATAGTAATACAAGGTTAGAACCCCCAAAAATTAAAGACTTAATTTAATCCCATTGAAATTGGTTAAAAGATTTGTACTTATTTTCAATTGAAGATTTCTTGCTATTGCGCAATACTGTGCTGTTGCACAATACTTAGTTAATCTGTTATATATAATAATTTACACACCCTGTTTGGTGTGTATCTCCTGCCATATCAGTATTTGTTGCTTTAATATATAAATCAGAAATAATCAATGTAAAGATGGAAAATGTTTGGGAACCCCCCACCCCCGCTAACATTTTGAAAAATTTTGAAATTTTGAAAAATCTTGAAGAAAAAAGTATGAACCCCCTTCCCTAAAAAAAAATTTAAAAAAATTTTAAATTTCAAAAATTTTGAAGAAAAAAAATATGAACCCCCAAATTTTTTTTGAAATTTTGAAGATTATTTTAGTTTCATAAAAATGTACAATTTCAGAGAGTTCCATAATATTTAACACAAGTTATTGTCTGGAAACTAGAAAAATGCTTGTTTTTGGCCCCTAATTCCTGAACATTTGGGGCAATTACCCCCAAACTCAACCCCAGCCTTACCTTTGTGATATGGAACCTTGTGGTACAATTTCAGAGAGATCCATACACTTACACACAAGTTATTGTCCGGAAACTACAAAAATGCTTGTTTTTGGCAATTACCCCCAAACTCAATCCCAGCCTTCCCTTTGTGGTATGGAACCTTGTAGGACAATTTCAGAGAAATCCATACACTTACACACGAGTTATTGTCTGGAAACTACAATAAACTGCTTCGCTGAGCGCAGCTGGATACGCCCGCAGAGGTCCAACCCTGAACAGTTGGGGCAAAAATGGACACAATATTCAAGCTTGATACAGGTCTGAATTTGGATTGTAATTAAATATTTGATATATTATAGGTTTCTGAATAAATGTAGTCAAAGAACTTGAAATTGATTATATGAAAGATTTCTTGCTGTTATGCAATACACTGTGCTGTTGCGCAATACTTAGTAAATCTGTTGTCAGACTATAAACAAATAAAATCTTATAACTCTGAAATGTAAAATCGAAAATTTATAAAAATCAAAAGGGAGCTTACAAAAATAGATATAAACAATTTACCAAAGTCTCATAAAAAATGCTGAAAGCATTTTTAAGTTATTGTCCGAAAACTGGAAAATCCCCCTTTTCGTAATGAATAAAACCCCATAAATATATATTCTGAAATTTATAAAAATCAAAAGGGAGCTCATGTCGATAAAAATAAACAATTCACCAAAGTTTCTTGCTAATTGGTGAAATTGTTTTTGAGTGAAATTGTTTTTGAGTTATTGTCTGAAAACTGGAAAATCCCCCCTTTTTTAATGAATAAAAACCCAAAACTCCGAAATTTATAAAAAATGAAAGGAGGCTCACATCAATAGATATGAACAATTCACAAAAGTTTCATGCATATTGGTTAAAGCATTTTTGAATTAATGTCCGAAATGTTGACGACGGACGGACAGACGGTCAGCGGTATACCATAATACGTACCGTAAACGGGCGTATAAAAATGCTTTTTTTTGGCCCCTAATTCCTAAACTGTTGGTACCATAACCCCCAAAATCAATCCCAACCTTCCTTTTGTGGTATTGAACCTTCTGGTAAAATTCATTGAGATCCATTCACTTAAACTAAAGTTATTGTCCATAAACCAAATGTGTCGACGACATGATAGCATTATACGAAGGCAATTTTTTTGTGGTCGTTTAAAAAATACTACAAAAAAGGGCAGAAAAAAACAACCAACAAGTCCACAAAACATTACATAGATAATTAAAGACAGAGCCACAAGAACCCCACACGAAAAACCGGGGTGATTTCAGCTGCCATTATATTATCTCTATTTTAGGTACTAATGCCCTTAAAAATATATATATCTGCTTCATTAAATGGAGTCACTGGTTCAAATTGTTAACCACGGATTTTACCATCCCAGTATTCTTGTATATTCCAATCAGAATTGATATTACGAAGATCATTGTACCAGAATATAGGTACTAATGTTTTTTTTTCTTCATGTTTTTCTATGTTGTATCCATGGTTATTTTTGTAATATTTTTTTCAACTGCATTTTTTTTGGTGGTGCCACCAATTATTGTAACCATAATTAATAAGACAAATAATTCATTAACAATTTATTGAAGACAAGATGTTTATTTTTAACATATAACAAATATATAATCTCATACTAGCTGGTCTTTTCTTGTATTTTATTCTGTCATAAGCTGAAGAACACAAGCTACCATATTACCTAGGTATCATAAGATTTTAAAATTGAATTCAACAAAGATAGACATTACCGTGGCTTAATAGAACCTATAACAATAAAAAAAATTATCATTAAATACTACAAAAAGCAAAATTAAAAAAACTGAATGGAAATTCAGTATAAGTTTTTCAACCACCTTTTTAATAATATTCCATACCTTCCTCCTAAATGGCAAGTTTTTAAAACAGCAATCACAAGATTCTTTAAAAAAATAAATTTGTGTTTTGTTATTTAAAAAAAAATGAATCGACTACAAGTTTCACAACTGTCATGCGTATTATATTTTCAACAAATATTATTAAACACTTTCAAATGTGGATGCTCAAAGAAAAACTGGAGGTCAATTTTCTCTTTCATAAAAGTTTGACTAAGTCAACTTGACATCAATTGGACTGAAATACCCACCTCCAAATTAACATTTCTGAATTAACCACAACAACCAAAATTCATTAAAGGAAGGGTAAAATCCATTCTTCTCAATTCTCTTGTTTAGTTTTCCTCAAAATATTTACTTAAGAACAATAAGATTCAAAATCTGATGAGTAATTCAATAATGAAAGTAAAAAAAAAAAGATTTGACCAAGTTTAATGCAGGCAGACTGACACATTGTAAAATGATTTAAATTATTTTATCTGAAATATTTTAATCTTTCTGCCTAGAGGTGAAGTTTAACTTGACACTAATCCATGTAAATAAAATTTAATTAAGCATTAAAGACATCTATAATTATTAAATAAACCATAAACAAAGGTAAATTAAAAATACCACCTTTGTCTAATAACTTGTTAATCGCAGGTAACAATTTCAGGACATGAATAATGTGAAAAAATAAATAATTTTTAACATAGCTGTCATATTCCTAAAACCAAACAAGATTTACTGAGATTCATATGTATTGTCTTACAATCAAAACTGTCTAAAATGAGACTGAAACATTAATCAGCCATCCTTGATAAAACAAAAATTTAATGTCAACCTAAGAACTGTAAACCAGTAGCAAGGAGCAAATTTCAATCCATTTACTTGTACGACTTTCTCATGAATGTGAAGGAACGAGTTGTAACTTTTTTTCTTCAGATCCCCTATCCAATGGGAGATTCAGGGGGATTGTAGATGGCATATGCCCCCTTCTTTATAGGAAAACATATAATTTTTTCTGCATAAAATCGTCCAGTTTCACCTTGCTCTGTAAATATATATAGTATATATTTCGTTTTCTGGAAGTACGCCCCACTTTAAAAAAATACTGGATCAACCCCTGAAATCAAATCATAAAAGATTGTCAGGTTTTCTGAATACTGATATATGTATAAATATCATAAGGCATTGTATTGCTGCTTTGGTGAGTAGGAGTAGGAAATGAGCTTAAAACATCCATACTATGCAAAGATGTTGACATTTACAATATGTGTTAGCTGGAAAACTGCCTAATGTATTAATTTGAGTGTCAAAAAGGAAATCTCTTCTTAAAATATTGGAAGCTTACTATGATGATGTCAAGTCAATCATTAGCAATGTTGTTAATAACTTGGAGTCGAACAGGTACTTTTATATTGTTAGGCAGAATAGTTTTGCTGAAATGAAGCCTTCATTCAGGATTCTCTATGGTAGAACGGGATGATGTATGCCATATGATATATAATCTTTAGAAAACTGTTGGCTTACAGATACCCTTGTAAATACTTGTAAAACACAAACATGTATGCAAAAAAAAACCAATTTCCTATGAACATATTTGCATCATCAAAGTTCACCTTTTATTCTTAATAAAAGTCTGTACTGTTGAAATCATAAAGTATAAGCTGCCTTATATATGGGTTTTTTACCCTGTATCTAATGCCATTTACCCTGAAGTGAATTTAAATATTATAATGATTAAAAATTCAAAATGGCCACCATTATTCTGTAATTTCTAATGACAATAGTTGTAATCCTTGGTAGCTTCTGTTGTTTGACTTATGCCTTCAACATTAGTAAATACTGTATATTCTATATATCTAAAACAGATCCATAGTCTATATACGAGACAGTTGATGAAGAAGATTGGATGGTAAAATGGCTTCAAGCTTCTCCAAGACATAACTAATTGGCATGTATAACCATCCTATTACCTAAAAAAAATAACAAAAATAAAAGTAGAAAATACATAATTCACTGTGATATAAAAATAAGTTCTGATCAAATATTTTTAACGAGTTATGCCCCTTGGAAATATTAATTATAATGGAAATCACATTGCATATGCTCTGAAGCCTTCATTCCTATAAGATATTAATAAAAAGTTTTAAAGAACAAAAAAAAGTGCTTATTTTAGTTATTGCCCTTGTACCTTGGATAGATAAAATATTTGCAATGCGAGAGACATTGGAACTCTGTTCTTTTATTTGCTTTTAATTTGCCTCTTTCTTGAATTGTCCTAGTTCCTGATCACCTTTATAAAGTGTCAAAGACATTACTCATATAAACCTATGATATCAGTTTCATAAAATTCTGGCAAGAATTGAACAAATGAGAGCTCTAACTATGCAATTTTCCATATAATCAATAATTCCAAGGGGCATAACTCTTTCAAAAATAATTGATCGGCACTGATTTTTGAACTCATCAAAGACATAGATGATATAAACCTATAATACAAATTTCATAAAAAAATGGCAAGAATTATACACATTAGAGCCTTCATAAGGCAATTTTCCATATAAATAATATTTCCAAGGGCATAACTCTTTTTAAAATTATTGATCAGCACTGATTTTCGAACTCCTCAAAGATATTGCTGATATAAACCTATGATTTAAGTTTCATAAAATTCTGGCAAGAATTGTTTACATGAGAGCGCTAACAATGCAATTTTTCTGTATGATTAATGTTTCCAAGGGGCATAACTCTTTAAAAAATAATTGATCGGCACTGATTTTCGAACTCGTCCAAGATATTGCTAATATAAACCTATGATATAAGTTTCATAAAAATCTGGCAAGGATTGTACAAATGAGAGCGCTAATGATGCAATTTTCTGTATAATAAATGTTTCCAAGGGGCATAACTCTTTTAAAATTAATTGATCAGCACTGATTTTAGAACTTGTCCAAGACATTGCTGATATAAACCTATGATATAAGTTTCATAAAAATCTGGCAAGAATTGTACACGTGAGAGCCCTAACAAGACCGGACGCCCAGTATTTCTATGGGGACAATTAAAAAGCGTTGAACAGATACAGAATTAAATATGAATATAAAAAAGATCTAAACTTTAACCAATATGGTCTGTGGCCAAAATGTTTTTGTGATATCAGGTCTACAAGAGGAGTAAGTAAATTAAGGAATTACAGTTCTGTAGTTGAAGAGTTGCCACCACCAATTGGAAATTTGATGGTCGCAAAATCAGTTTGACTGGCGACACATTTCAGGTATTCTGTTACTTTTACAATTCAAATTTGTATTATACATGTATCTTGTTTAAATGTTTGAGGTAGCTGTTGTTTATTTTTGATTATATTGCATGAATCAAACAGTTGATTCAAAAATTCAATATGGGGCTCTCCTTTGTTAGACATGTCAATTATGCATTTGACGGTAAATTTTAGCCAATGAAAAAAAAAAAAAAAAAATTGCATTAGAATCATGCTTCATATGCAATATCTTTTCTATTGCCCACTGATCAAGGCCAATAATGGGTCAAATTTGATGACTGGTTGGTTATCAGCTACTTAACATCTATCAGAAAATATTTCATGCAAATTTTTTTTCATATTACGGAAAATAACATCTCAATGAAATATAAATGATATACTGTGCTTTGTACTAGTCACACAAATTCTAACTTGGACAATCTGTTTGAAATACAGATCATGGGTCCACGCTTTACTTACCAGGATCAGACAACACTTTGGTTGTGATTCTCTGTTGATGATACACACCTTCAAAAATTTGAAGGCTGAAATTTCATTGGCTGATATGATTACCAAAACAGAGAGTAGAACGAAGTGTTGTAAAGTCCTTGTAAGGGAAGCATAAGATCTTTATTTTAAGCAAATTGTAAATTGGACAGCTTTTGTTGAATTTTCCTAAACATTAGTCTGCTATGCAATCATGATAATAACACTTACTGTTTTTGCTACCATACCCATGGGTTCTGGGTACTGATGTGTGAGGAGGGCCAGAAGGGCTGTGAAGGAACACAAACCAGCAGTAAACAAAATGAAGAAAGGTAACTCCTTCTTTGGGTACACTGACACCTCATGATAAGCTGAAATCAGAAAATTGGTCAGGATTTATAATACATTAATTTCATTTGCTGCTTTAGTAACACATAAAATCTTAAGCAGTATGTAAAAAAAAAAGTTTGGAAGCTTAAATTGTTAGAAAGTTTAACCATGAATTGCAATTGAAACTGATATTTTTAGACAATTGAAAAGGTAAAATTTACAGACAGAAATAAATGTACTAAAAATTGATTGGAACAAGAATTTGTGTCCACAGGACACCATGTTCCACTCTGAATATCACATTTCAATATTCACTGACATGAAAATATGATAGTGCGATGGAGAGTGGTGCCCTATAGACACATATTCCTGTTTTGGTGAATTATTTATTTTATTATCTGAAATTTTCATGATTGTATCTATTTGAATAAAATAATTTCATTCAAACCAACTTTTACTAACACATAATTTACTTTGCTGTCTTCCAGAAATAAGAAAGACTTGACTGTATTTTCCTATAAGTTTATATTCATTCAAATCAATGTGCACAAATTTATTGAGGAATATAAACCTGCTTAATTATTGAAGCCAACGTCTGCTAAATTTCTGAAGTAAAAACTAACCACATTAATTATAGAAGCACAAAAACCTGATCAATTATTGATGCAAGTAAAACCTATGGGGCATAAATTAAGATTAGCATTTTATACCTGGTAACAATTCTCTGTCAGCACTTTCTGTACATGTTGGATAAGGGTAAAATAAATGTCCTTTCTCTAGGGGATATGGTATCATTCTAAATGCTGAAATATAATGTAATCATTCTACAACTGTGTAAAGTTTCATCAATACATTTGGAGGAGTTGCACTTAAGAGATACTATTACCACATTTCACACATAAGACCAAACATATCTTCAAAATAAACTTCAAAACATTTATTCAGATTTAAATATATGGTTTTAGAGAAGCTCTCTTGCAGTTTAAGATGTACAAATTAGCCACATGAATGAATTTATCACTAATTCCAGTAAAGAAGTATATACTTATACTATGAAAGTCTCATAATTCTTCACTTAAGTATTGAATGCTTCTTTTCGTAAATTTATGGGATGTAAAAGCGTTGACCAAAGTACATTTTGTATGAAGCGCAGATGCACTTGATTTTAAAAATGTGCGCACGGTCTACGCTTTAACAACCCTATAAAATTACTAAAAGAAGCATTCAATACTTAAAATTACAGTTTTTTTGCTAGAACCATGAAAACATGATTTCTATCAAGTTTTTCTTTTATTTACCTGTGCACTTTATTGTGGAAGCTCATGTCATCATGAATGTTACATTTCATTTTGAAATGAAGGTCAATTTCAGAATGATACAAGATTGCTGGAAGCCAATCAAAGTAATGTATTATAATGAAACATACATATAATGTAATTATTTGTTGATAAAGTAATTTAGGTAACATTACAATGAAAAATGCCCATTAACTCTATTCTATGTTGTTTAAAATCAATGACTTTAAATAAATATGAACCCATGCAGTGTTCTCCTAAAAGAATCTTAGCATTCGGGTACCAATAAGCTTTTTATCAATTTTTCAAATGTTTTCTAATAAAAATTCCTTTCTCCTAATATATTCCTAAATTTCATCCACAAATAAAAGTTTTAGAATCTCAATAATCAGCATTAACAATATGCCTGCAGCAAATACTCATAGGGTCAGGTGAGCTAAAAATGTTTTTTGTGCACACAAGCCAATGAGGATATTTCTCATTTGTTGAATGCTATGGCATAATTCACCAATGAAACCCATGAAAATATTCGTACATTTTAGAAGTACCAAAGAAAGTATATTTTTGTGTATTACTTACTTCCTTCCCATGTACAGTGTAATAGATTAAGAGCTCCATCTACTTTTTTCCAGTGTGGTAAGTGGAAGAATGCATATGCTATAGCCTCACTATCACCTCTCTTAAGTATGTGTTCTGGTGGAAGGATTAAACTCTTCATTTCTAGTAAATACTGAAAATAAAGATATGCAATAATGTTAGGGGTGATGTGTTGAAGAAGAAGGCACAGCTCAATATCGTCAATGACCAGAATCTAATAAAATCCAAAATCTTTTCATTTTACAGTATACATTAAAGGTAAATACTTGAGTATGTTAAAGGATACTGCATAAAAATAAACTACTCTCAATGATTTTGTGTGTGGATATTTTCTAGGAGATTTCATATATAATTATAACTTTGTATGTTGATAGATAGTCAATGAATGCTAAACATCCAGAGGGTTATAAAAGAGAGGTAAAATATAACAAAGGGACATTAAAACTCATAAGTCAAAAATAAACTGACAACACCGTGGCAAAAGAAAAAGACCAAAAGACAAAAACAGTATATTAAACACAACATAGAAAACTAAAGACTGAGCAACACAAACCCCACCAAAAACTGGAGGAGATTTTAGGTGCTACAGAAGGGTAAGCAAATCCTGCCCCACATGTTGCACCCGTTGTGTTGCTCATAGTAAGAATGGGAACATGTTATTGAGCTTGGAAAATTGGTACTTGAAATAAATGAATCTGCAGTAGTAGTATTCTATGTACCATGTCTCACTGGCATATACCCAAATTTCATTTCATCAATACATAATAAAGTATTAGTTCCTGATAATTATACAGTGTGTATCAGCAATATTGTCTTGAATACCTTTGGACAATGTGGATTAAATTCCACAGCTCTGTGTATTGCCTCTACGGCTGTCATTTCTGCTGTACTTAATCCTCTCTTTGAAGCAGTGTCTGGTGAGAATCTACAAGAGTAAAAATAGTGTTAGGCTTCAGCAATCAATCAAACTTACAACATGGAAAATCATATTCCTTTTTAACATATACATGTGTCGTGATATAATTAATATTAAAAGTCATTAAAGGTGACAAAAAAAAAAGTTAAGTGCATACTATTCATATGTTTGAAGGACTTATTTGAATATTAAAATTAAAGATTTTAAGATAGAAATTGAACAATTTTTTTTCAATAATTGTGAGCACAATATTCTTTAAAAACATAGATAATTACTTGAAGTATAAGCAAAAATCAGAATTTCAGTGAAAAATGCCCATAAAACATTTCACATCAAAATTCTTTTCATTAATATACCTAAGACAATTTTTTTTATGACTCTTTCATATACTGTGCACTTTATTCTGTTAATAAAATCTGTTAGAATAGAAAGCATCATAATGAATATTTTATGACAATTTTAATGCAACATATAGTGACTTACTTGTCGGCTACTGCCCTGGCTTTTAGTAATGCTGCTGTGTAACATATAGCTGCTGACTTAGGTAAACTGATATCTGTAGATGAATTATAAATAAACATAGTTAGCAGATTTTTAAAAATAAATTTAAAGAATTATACAATGTGATACTATACATTCAATCTGATTAAAATACAGATCATAATATTATGCACATGCTTTGCTTACAAGGATATGACTAGACTTCAGTCTTTTTTCTGTTTTGAGGACCATTTCAGGATATTCAGGTTTTGGCTTAAAAATTGTGGGGAGGAATTTCATTGGCTGATGTAATAATTACTGGAAAAGAAAGTAGAATAGAGTGTTGTCAGATCCTTGTAAGCAAAGCTTGGACACAGGATCTGTATTTATATCAGATTACTATAAATTAGACAAAAAGGTAAGTAATACACTTGCGTTATAATTTCATATGATCAAAAAGGTAAGTAATACACTTGTGTTATAATTTCATATGATCTATTTTAGAAAAGCTTATCAACATTTGATAATTATATAGTTCACAAATAAATCGCATTAATTATAAATTTGACAAAAATGTCAGATTTTATTTTTCAAACTTTCAAATTTTAGAAACTTGGACTTTATGCAGACAAATAAAACTCAGTCCCTTTCCATGGAAGGGAGATAATAGACTGCATTACAAAGGGAGATAATTGTGTACATACCATCATATTTAGCTAATAATGCCTGTACATCTGCATATGCTTGTACTTCTAATAATGCATCAATGAGATTCTCATGTATGTTGAATAAATTTAATGTGGGAAACTCTTTCATTAACTGCAAAATAAACAAGAAAAAGACAAAATACACAACTGACATTTCTTCTAAACAAAATTTTATCTAAATAATTTGATATGGCCTAGTTCAGTCTGGTTATGCTTTTTTGGATGCATGACATTTTTGAATATATATATTCTTAATCACTCTTATATTTTCATTATATCATTTGGTATGGTTTACTTAAAAAATGCATAGCTATGATTACTGCTTTATTTCTAAATTTGTTTTTTTCTCACTTACTAAGAAAATTTGTAAAATGTAAAAAAATAAACCCTGAGTGGGTTGTACCTATGAACAGAAAGCTATAACAAAAGAAAGAATAAAGTATGGTATGAATACACCATGCTTTTTACAAGACCTTCAGGCTAAGCCTCAGTTCTAATGTTATAGCTCACAAGGTAACAGTTATCTGGAAGACATGTCACCCTACTCAGATACATTTTTCTGATTCTGAACCAACAGGTCTTTGCTCTTACTCCTAAATTATGTGTGCTTGGCAGAGAAATTTATTTTTCCGCATTTCAGAGAAAAGCAAGAAAATGTTGTCTAAAAGGAACGTTTTTTAATAACGGTATGTTTTTGGCAGTTTGTCTGTAGTTGTACACGTGGTTACGTGAACCAATCATTTGGATTGCGTCAATAAGTATTCTCATGTTAATCAGGTGAAAGCGGGTTTTTTTATTTTCTTTGTGTTTGAAAATTATTCTAGCTGCCGACATACAACACTAAACTTCAATATTATTATATCTGATATTTATATATTATTTTTTTTATGAGGTTCGGCATTAATGTCCTGAGGCATGCCTTGCACTTCTCCCGTAACACAGGTTTCCATATCAATTTTCTTTATTAAAGTTTTTGTGGTTTTTCCTGGGCGGCGAGGTTATGTTAAAGACAGATATACACATACACTTATAGAGATAAGGGCATTTTGTACTTCATGGTTTCCATTGTTCAGATGTTTATTTATTCTATATATATGTTCACATTTTGGAAATTACTTATACTTCTTATATGTATTGTTATATAAAATATATATTAAATGCCGGCTCAGTCAGTCTGCACGGCTAAATGCATTCATTTTGTTAGTTGTTATTGAAGTGTAGTTAAGACACAAGAAATACAAACTTTGAAAGTATTTGGTTTAGCCAAGACTTGGAATCAAAACTAATGATCTCCCACACTAAGAGGCCAGCAGGCTACCAAGACACCGCTGAGATGGTGACTTTTTATATTGGTATGGAAATTTTAATAACTGATAATACCAATATGTGAAAGCTTCTTCGCTAAAAATTTGACATGATGAAAGTGAGAATAAAAGTTTCTACATGAATCACATTTAATAATCAATCTCATATTATTGTTGGTTGATAAAATTTTCAAACTGATATATCTTTTTATTCATCTCACATTCTTAATTTACAGAACCAAATGGTAATAAAATGCTCCGCTGGGGCGCAGCTTGATACGACCGCAGAGGTCGAACCCTGAACAGTTGGGGCAAGTATGGACACAACATTCAAGCTTGATACAGCACTGAATTTGGATTGTAATTAAATTTTTGACACAGCATAGGTTTCTGACACAGAATGAAAGTGGTCTAAGAACTTAAAAATTTTCAATTTACCTATTCATACATGTGATGGACTGTGAAACTCAGATCAGGAGATTGGGAAATTTTGGTCAGGAGATTAGGACTCAGATCAGGAGGTTTTTAATCGACATTAATTTTGTTGTAAATGTAACCGTGTGCTGTAAAAATGGTCTTTTAAAGTGTGTTTTCTTCAACTTTCCATCCAATTTATTATGTTTATAGTACCCTTGTACTTATAAAGTTTCTCCATCTTTATATTCTACATGTTCAATCTAACATTGTATTTTTCCAGTATGTTCTTTAAATTTTTTACTTCATATTCTATAAAACAATCATTGCAACCAGAACATTTGTTTAGCTATCTGCAAATAGTTCTTATTTTTTTTTTTTTCTCTTGCAAATAGTTTTTATTTGCAAACTCAGAAAATCATTTCATCCGTAAAATTAGGGTCATAGTTATTATATAAATTTCAATTTAAGCCTTGAAAGGAAGTCTAGAATCCTCAAATAATTTTCAAATTATTATTTTTTTATTTGTCCTAAGACATTTAAAATCATTTAATAACCATCCTTTTATGATTATTTGTTCAATTTATATTTTATTTATATTCTTTTAAAAATTTTCATTATTAAAAGGAAAGTAACTTAAAACAGGATAAATCAAGGGAAGTAACCCAATAAATACACAGTTTTTGTTACACAACGGCAGTTAGCCTGAGGTAAAAATCGTTGATTACCTGTATGTTTGACACCCAAGCTGACAAGTGAAGCCATATAATTATGCATGTTAATTGATTTACAGGTAAAATATAACTTCAGGTAATGTCAGTTACACCAGATGCCTGAGATGATATGTTGGGCAGAAATTTTTCATTCATGAAAAATTTCATACACGGGATTTTTTCCTCTTCAACGGGAGGTCGGGAGGAGACCCCTGAAAACGGGATTATTGTACTCCCGTCGGGAGGTTCACATGTATGCCTATTCAAACCATATCATTATTATTTGCTTTTATATATAAATCAGAAATAACCAATTTAAAATGGAAAATGTTAAAGAAAAAAAAGGAAGAAAAAAATCCCCCCCCCCCCCCCAATTTTTTGAACCCCCTTATGATTCATCACCCCCAAACTCAATCCCAGCTTTCCCTTTGTGGTATGGTACCTTGCAGTACAATTTCAGAGAGATTCATACACTTGAACACAAGTTATTGTCTGGAAACTAGAAAAATGCTTGTTTTTTGGCCCCTTTTTGGCCCCAAATTCCTAAACGTTTAGGGCAATTACCCCCAAACTCAATTCCAGCTTTCCCTTTGTGATATGGAACCTTGCAGTACAATTTCATAAAGATCCATACACTTACACACAAGTTATTGTCCTGAAACTAGAAAAATGCATGTTTTTTTTGCCCTTTTATGGCCCCTAATTACTAAAATTTTGAGGGAAAACCCCCAAAATCAATCCCAGCCTTCCCTTTGTGATATGGAACCTTGTAGTACAATTTCATAAAGATCCATACACTTGAACACAAGTTATTGTCTGGAAACTAGAAAAATGCTTGTTTTTTGCCCCTTTTTGGCCCCTAATTCCTAAAATTTGGAGGAAATTACCCCAAAAATCAATCCCAGTATTCCCTTTGTGATATGGAACCTTGTAGTACAATTTCATAAAGATCCATACACTTACAAACAAGATATTGTCATGAAACTAGAAAAATGCTTGTTTTTTGCCCCTTTTTGGCCCCAAATTCCTAAAATTTGGAGGCAATTACCCCCAAAATCAATCCCAGCATTCCCTTTGTGATATGGAACCTTGTGGTACAATGTCAGAGAGATCCATACACTTACACACAAGTTATGTCTGGAAGTTACAAAAATGCTTATTTTTGGCCCCTTTTGGCCCCTAATTCCTTAACTGTTAGTACCATAACCCCCAAAATCAATCCCCACCTTCCTTTTGTGGTATTGAACCTTATGGTAAAATTTCATTGAGATCCATTCACTTAAACTAAAGTTAGAGTGCGAAAACTAATGTGTATTCGGACGACGACGCCGGACGACGACGACGACGACGACGACGACAACGACGACGACGCCAACGTCATACCAATATACGACCACAAAAATTTTTTTGCGGTCGTATAAAAATTACTGATGTCTAGTAATGACCTAAAACGTAAATCTGTGTAAAGCATAATAGAGTTTATAGTTAACCTGCTGATATCTTTTTCTGTGAAAAGTTGCACAATAATTTTTTCCTTACCTCTCTCATCATTTTAATAGCCTCCCTTGTTCTCCCTAATTTTCTAGCACACATGGCAAGTCTCCTTTTTATATAAACTATTACATTTGTGTCGCGTCCTGTAACAAATTAAAAAAAAAATCATACTTCAAACTTATAAAATTGGAAATGTCAAAAATCCCTCTTAGTTTTAACAGATTGTATAAAAGAATGTAAATTTCAGGGAAGAGGTTTCTCAAAATATGTGGTTTCCAATGGTTTAGAGTCTTTAGAAAAGATTTAAGAACCCCTCCCCACCCCCCAATAATATTGGTACTGAATGTGGTAAAAATAAGTAAGTTCAAAGTGGATTAAACTGAATTATATAAATGATTTTATCCATATTTCAAATGTTTGAGGCAAAAATTGAATCAAAGTGCAGACCATAGCAGATAGTTGAGACACACAGACAGACATTAATACAAATTAATATCTTTATTAAAAAATATCATTTGTGTGGGATCAAAATTTATATTATGTGTGAAGATTATAGATTTAGAAAACAGAAAAAAAAAACAATATTGTGGTTTGAATTAAATAAAGCTTACTTGAGACCTTTGTGAAAATTCTGTTGCTGTTTGCAGGTATAACATAGTACTCGTATACCATTATTTAGATTGTACATGTATAAACAACATTATACTTTATATCTGTACTTATTAAGTATTTGAAACATACTGTATGTTGCTTCGTGCTGTAAATTTTGATGTTGTGTTTGCTGTGATTTTCTGTATGCTACTTCTGCTGTTTTATAAGCCTGCTTAAACATTTTTTCAGCCTGAAAAATAAATAGTTTATCAATCTGTTGGTTAAAGTCCCATAACTCTGTAATGACAAAGTAGTTTTCTTTCACTAATCCCAGGAATACTATAATATTTGAAGTAAATTGATCAAAGCATACTCAAACTAGTACAAAAACAAGGGGAAAATTGCCTAAAATCTGAGGTTAAAAACCCTTAACTCTGAAACCAAAAAGACATAAAATAAAAAATTGAAAGGGAGCTGTCTTTTACAAATCTCAATAAAGCTTTCTTCTGCAGGTTCAAATATTTGATACAAGTTTCATTAAGTTTGATCAAAGTATTCTCTAGCTTTAGTAGGTGTGTTGGGTTTGTGTTACTCAATATTTTCAGTGTAATGTTTTGTTGACTAGTGCTGACGTCTTTATCCGTTTGACCACCATGTTGTTTATCCTTCTTTGACTTATATGATTTTGGATTGTCCCCCTTTGATATCTCCTATATTTTCTAATACAGAAGTTTATAACTAAAGTTAACAAAAAATGGCCAATACAATTATAGTTATAAATACAAAAATTAAATATCCTCCCTATAAATAAAAATTGAAGATCAATATCTACGAAAAGGCAGAACAATTATTTGATAAGGTCTTAGTATCCTTTCAAGTTTGAATAAAAGTTAATAATTATCTAATGAGGCAAATTATCCCCACAGAAATGATTAAAACAGACTATCTTTTTTACAATTTCCATGCTCCTTGCAAAGTTTTTGTACAAACAGTGGAAAGGTTTTTTTAATGAATAATATACCACAAAACTGTCTTGTTAAAAATAAAGATATGTGATAAGTTATTTTTTCTCTTTTAAACATATTTTTCTATTCAAAGATTATTTCTTTTAATATCAAACTCCCTTTGTTTGGCACCAATTTCAATGGAATTCCTTCCTAATCAAAACCAAAATTCTAAATACCTAATCAAATTAATTTTTTCATCAGATTTGTCATGTGCAAAGCTTAATCCTTTTAATAATTAAAGAAAACTTTTATGAAAGATATAAAAAAAAAAACCCACAAAAACTTGGATCTAACAGTAAGAGTACTTTCACTGTAGGATGAATAGAAAATGTAACTTTTGATTCCTCAGCTTTCTGATGAAATTTTAATTATCATTCTGCCATACAATAATATATACATACATCTGCTATAGAACTTGTATCTTCTTCTGCTAACAATATTATAGCTGTACAACATCTATCAAAGGAAACAAAGGTTCAATTACTATAAAGTAACACCAAATGATTAATGACTGAGTATAAGTCTGATTGTTTTTTGGAAGAAGGTTAAACAAGAAGTCAATATCAAAAACAAACAAGACTTATAGTGAGCTACTTCTCACTAATTTATATCCCTGCTCATGGGAAAATTTTTATATGTGTAGAATGTGAAAGAACATACACGTATGTGGCAACAGGAAGTTGATATGTGACAAATCTGAACATGTGTCACACAGTATAGCTTACCAATATGAAGCTTGGTACCAAATATCTGATTTGCAGTTGCTGATAAAAATTTGACAGAAATGTGTTACAGACAGAATGACAGATGGATTGACAGACAAGGGTAAACCAGTATACCCCCTCATTAGAGCAGAGGTATAAATGAGAAACAGTCTCCACACTAGACCAAGAAGGATATAACTATACAGTTGGAAGTATTTTGAAGTTATATTTCTTATATGTATGTAACATCAGCAACCTAAAACTTGAGAGACTTTACACATTAAATGTACATTTGGTCAAAGCCCTTGAAAGGTTAGCAAAATCTTCAATATTCCTGTTGGGTTTCTGTCTCTTGGGGTATTTCCAACATATTCCTTTTATTAATACTCAATGTAGACTGTTGAATTGTTGGTCATCAGAGTATTTGATAAGTTGCATTTGAAAATGTAGTTATTTTGAACATCCTTAAAATAAGATTTTGAAAATGTAATACCAGTTACACATGTACATGTACTATAAATGAGTTTTTCTATACTGAAAACTTCAGCTTTAATGTTTGCTCTATCGCTACAACTTTGACAGTTCTACAGATGGAATATAAACCATACATGGTAGATATGCATGTCATGTTTCATTTAAACTGAATTTTCAGTAGTTAATTTAGTTCACAGTAAGAAATGTCTTGAACTAGGATACATTTTTTTTTAATTTCAAGCCTTTCAAGCACGGCTTGTACTTTCAAATAACATGATATGATTAGAGTTAAAAATCAAAAATATTCTATCACATTTGAACCATTTACATGTGAATCAAAAAAAAATTAATTAAAATGCGAGATCACACAAATGACACGAATTGCAGAGTAATCGAAGGACTTTATTATTCCATGAAGAAAAGTCATCAATAACAAACGCAAACTGGATCTTGAACACATCCTTTTTTATTCATAACCAAACATTATTTAACAAATATAAAAAAAATATGGACAACACTTTGAGTGACAGAAGGACATACATGGGTAACACTACACTGTTAGTATCACAATCATCATCAGTAGCTGAGGAAATTCCAAAGGTCGGTCTGAATGAAATCATTGGAAAATATCATTTTCTACTATCATTGAAGCATAGTTGACACTTTATGGTAATTTGATTATTCAGTTAATTCATAAGGTTATTTGTTTTGAACTGAAATATTGGGGTGGGCAGCTCGTTATTATTACATTACAATTCTCATTAAATCTTACTCTGGGTTTTTCTCTAATGCATCTTTAGCAGCTTTGATTCTTGATTGAGGATTTCTTTCCCTCCATGCTCTTTGCATTACTGAAAATATATCAATAAATTAGTTTCAAGTTATTAAGCAAACACAGAAGAATACACATGGCTACAGGCCTTATTCCTAAGAGCATTACACAGTTTCCAAATATATACATCAGTTATAATACTATTTATTTAGCAGTTGATACTTTGAACCTTCTTTACAGATTTGTCAAAAGTTTGCATATTTAGCTGTATATAAGTTTGCATGTCTAAAGTTTTATATATAAATTGTATAACAGTCACATTCCCCTTATTCAAGATTGCAGACTTGAGAGCTTAAATTTTTTATTAAATTTGATTCTCTTTTTCAAAAATTGGGAAAATTAGACATCTGTCTGTCAAGAGATTATTCTCAAGAAATCTTATTTAGGTCCTTCACTTGTTAAGTGTGTTTCATACTCATTTTTACAAATCAAATGACTGCTAAAACTATTGATTATAAAAATAAGAAGATGTGGTATGATTGCCAATGAGACAACTCTCCACAAGAGACCAAATGACACAGAAATTAGCAACTATAGGTCATCGTACAGCCTTCAACAATGAATAAAACCCATACCGCATATATGAGTTTATATTATGACAACTTGACAGTATTTTTTTAGCACTATGATATTATTTTCTCTTCATTTTCGCCACTGATTGAAAACTTTGAAAATTTGAATATCTCATCGGAGTTAAGTATGCCCATCATTTATCTGCAGTTTCCTTCAACCATATTATATACAGAAACTGTACTTGAAGGTGTCTTTTGGCATTTTTTTCCCCAAATAGACATATACTTATTTTTAAACCAGAAAATCAACATCTGATATATTGAGTAAAGTAAATCATATAATTTAATTTGACATGCTGTGAAAGTTTTAATCCTAGATAACAGTTTTTTTGTGATTTGTCCAAAATATTTAATTCATGGGTTTTATTGGTTTCAAACTTTGCACTTACAAATCAATAAAAGATATGTATTTCATTTGGTATTAAGATTTGTAGTTTAACTTTAAGCAGAACATCAATGAAACCTTGTACCCAACAAATAAAAACACCTCTTTTAAACTTGTGCTTATCTTATTTATTCTAATTGTTTTTTCAACTTACTTTCAAATTCTTGTTTACCAGCATCTGATTCACATGTAAAGAATGTTTGGTGATCTTGTGCTGAGAGATTCATGTCATAATATGTTAATGGTTCTTTACCCCTCGCCCAATTATATCGCTGATATTCTGATCCTCGGAATAAATTCAATGGATTTCTCCATACTTTACATTCTGAAAATATATTACCAAGTTAAGTTACCTTTTCATGGGTCAATATACAGAAACTTAAAAAAAAAAAAAAAAATCCGGAATTATAAACAAGAGGCTCATGAGGGCCTGAAATCGCTCACCTGCAGTTTCAGACTTATTTTGTAGATCTTAACTTTGCTAAACAATTTTGTCATTTATACTTTCTTTCTATAATAATATTAAAAAAAAAAGATAATACATAACCCAAAACTGTAAAATTTCCTAAAAATTAACTATTTCTGGACAGTAACCCAACAATAAGTTGTCCTATTGGTCTGAAGATTATAAGGTAGATCATAACCTGTTTAACACTTTCACCTATGTCAGTTTTGCTCTTACTGCTTTAGTTTTTGAGATGAAAGCCAAAAACCTCATTTGACCCCTATGTTCTTTTTTCAGAAACTGCCGCCATGTTTTTGAATGCATCAAATCCCTGAATACAATCTATAAACTAAATACCCTAAGGAACATTCAATTAAAGTTTTTACGTATTTGGCCAAGTAGTTTCAGAGAAGAAGATTTTTGAAAAAGTAATTAGACTTGCACGAAAAAATGTAAAAAAATAAACGTTTCAAAGGCAATAACTCCTTAAGGAGTCAATTGACCATTTTGATCATTTGACTTATTTGTAGATCCTACTTAGCTGAACATTTTTGCCATTTACACTTTCTCTCAATCTATTATAATATTAAAGATAATAACCAAAAACAGTAAAATTTCATAAGAATAAACTATTTCGGACAGTAACCCTACAATAGGTGGTGCAATTGGTCTGAAAACTTCTTAGCAGATAGATTTTGACTAATTCATCACTTTAACTCCGTGTCACTTTTGCTCTAACTGCTATAGTTTTTGAGATAAAAGCCAAAAACTGCATTTGACCCCTATGTTCTATTTCTAGCCATGGCGGCCATGTTTGTTAATGGATCAAAACTTCGGATACAATTTATAAACCAGTTACCCTAAGGAACATTCAGTTAAAGTCTAGAAGTATTTGGCCCAGTAGTTTCAGAGGAGAAGATTTTTAAATGTTAGCAAACATGATGAACAAATTGTGTAAAATTGTCTTTAAAGGGCAATAACTCCTTAAGGGGTCAATTGACAATTTTGGTCATTAAACTTTATTGTAGATCTTACTTTGCTGAACATTTTTGCTGTTTACAGTTTATCTTTATCTTCAATAATATTCAAGATAATATCAAAAAAATGCAAAATTTCCTTAATATTACCAATTTAGTGGCAGCAACCCAACAATGGGTTGTTCGGTTCATCTGAAAATTTCAGAGCTGATGGATCTTGACCTATTGAACAATTTTACCACCTGTCAGATTTGCTCTAAATGCTTTAGTTTTTGAGCTATAAGCTCACATGGGCTGTATCAGGCCTGGTAAGCTAAAAAGCAATACTGCTTAATATCCTGAAAATCATTGTTATGGCATCTTTGATGAGAAAACTCTTGTCATAAATACATGAAGTAGTTTCAAAGAATTTTCATGCTTGATCTGCTGATTTTTAAAACTATAATTGCTTTAACATCCACTTGGTATGGAATCTGGCAATAGTTGTCTCACTAGCAATCATACCACATCTCCTTATTTTTTAAAAGGCTGCTGTTTTTTTACCAATGTGCTGTATTTTAAATGTAAATATATTTTTGTCCCGTTTTCTTACATACACTGGCATACTTTTATGCTGTTTTTGTTGCATGTTGTTTGAATGGTTTATGCATCTTTATTTTTGTTCTGTTGTCTGACAATCAACCTGGCATAGACTGCTGTCTGACAATTAACCTGATATAGATTGTCTCTGAAAAATAACCTGGCATAGACTGTCTGACAATTTATCTTGAATAGACAGTTGTCTGACAATTTACCTGGCATAAGCTGTTGTCTGACAATATACCAAGCATAGACTGTTGTCTGACAAATTACCTGGCATAGACTGTTGTCTGACAATTTAACTGGCATACACTGTTGCCTGACAACTTAACTGGCATAGACTGTTGTGTGACAATTTACCTGGCAAAGACTGTTGTCTGACAATTAACCTGGCATAGACTGCTGCCCAACAATTTCCCCAGCATAGACTTGTATGACAATTTACCTGGCAAAGACTGTTGTGTGACAATTTACCAGGCATAGACTGTTGTCTGTCAATTTACCTGGCATAGACTGTTGTCTGACAATTTATCTGGCAAAGACTGTTGTGTGACAATTAACCTGGCATAGACTGCTGCCCAACAATTTCCCCGGCATATAATTGTCTGAAACTTTACCTGGAATAGACTGTTGTGTGACAATTTACCAGGCATAGACTGTTGTCTGGCAATTTACCTCACAAAGACTGTTGTGTGATAATTTACCAGGCATAGACTGTTTTCTGACAATTTACTTGGGATAGACTGTTGTCTGACAATTTACTTGGCATAGGCTGTTGTCTTGGCAATTTACCAGACATAGACTGTTGTCTTGTCAATTTACCTGGCATAGACTGTTGTCTGAGAATTTACTGGCGTAGACTGTTGTCTGACAATTTACCTGGCATAGACTGTTGTGTTTGCTGGTTCTGTGGTGTGTTGTTTGTGTTATTACTGTTTGTGTTTGTATTATTGTTGTCATTCTGTTGTCCATCTGTGCCACCCAACAATGGAGATATGTGATTTAGCGATACTTGTTCAATAAAGGATGTTCCATATTTCTTGAAATACCACCATTCAAATATCTGAAAGAATATATTACACTATTTTCAATGCATGTATTTATTGCTGCATTTTTTTTCATTTTGCATTCTGTACTTTTAGTAGCATATCTGCATACAGCAATATTTGTGTAAATAAACATATTAACAGTAATTAACTACATGGGGAACCTAATTAACAATTATAAGTCTTGTACTGTAGAACATTGCATTCGGCCTTGGTTATTCCATCAACAAATTAATATTGTACATCAATTACAATCAAACATGTCAAATGAGAACTTCTGTAAAATCTAATATTTATTGAAATGAAGAAAATCAGTGCATGTCTAAATTTAGTTATTGCTAAAGGATGTGTATCTGAATTTTATACTCTCTGATAAATTTAAATAAATTGTAAAGTAACATCTTAATTTCTATTGGTGTTTTTCTTAGTCAAATATACTGTTTTCATATAAAGAGTTATTATCAAAATCATATGCCTCTGTCATAAAAAAAATTAGAAGGCTGCCCTAACTTTTTGACTACGGGCCGTCTTAGACTTGCAGTGAGGTGAGAGGATTTTTTTGCTCCATATTGAAGGCCTCACTGTGACTTTGAGAAGACGAACAGCAATAAAAGTGCTGTTCCTTTGCTTTTTGTGTATTTTTTGCTGAGCATGAACTGATTTTGTGTCATAGAAGGATACCCCATATCCTTTGCTTTTCTATTTTGTTGTTTTATGACATCCTATCAAGAGTAACCGGTAAATCATTTTTCTTTTCACACATCATCCTGAAGTCTTTCTTTTTCATGAAGGCATGTCATCACCTGCTAGGTTTAGTATAAAGTCTGCTATGATTTGATCAGACAGTTTCTGGCAAACAAGAAATTTGAAATTTGACTTAGAAGCAAGAATTTCAATTGACAATCAAGCTTTTAGCAAAACAACAATCAAATGAGAAATTTAATAAAGAACCTTCTATGCATTTTTGCTGTCTTATTATGAAGAACACCTCAGAGTTTTTCTGAAATTCACAAACTAATTTTAGAGTTGTTAACATGTAAATTACAGAGATGTTTTACAGTGATGCATGTGACATCTCTGCTAGAAACTGGACACAAAAAATTAAACTATTTAAGGAGAAGACTCTTCGTCATCTCATTAAGGAATAGTATACTAACTAAAAGACATTAATGTTTCAGACAATAATTAGATTAAGATGATAGTAATGATGAATACAAGTAATAAGAAGCACGTCTTTGATCGTTAAATTATCCATCTCTGCATTGGTACGTAATCTATTCATAGGCTAATGGAAATACAAGAAAATTACGTGACAAATTGGATGAGGTGTAGTATTAAGGGATAATAGTCTTACTAAAATGTCAGCTCTTCCTGTGGTCTCAACGTTTATTTCATTACTGCGGGTTTTTATACCACTATAAGATGACTCCAATTTTCTAATTACGTCATTACAAGTTTCGTCAATTAAGTCCACGAACTGATATATTTGAATTCACGTATTTGTTTAAGTGTATGAAAAATGAACTTGAGACACAATTTAAAAGAACCCGTTTTGATCCTCTTGATAAACACATCATGAATTATCTTATAAAAGGCAATTTTTCTGAAGATGGAGAACAGAGAATAATCAATATGAAATCCAGAAGAGTGCTTACTTAAATGTGTGTTAATATGGCTGTAACTGTATCGATTGATCAACATTCTGTCCTGTGTTGTGATTACAATCGCATACAACATTTCTATTTCAATTGTTAGTTTAATTTGTCTTCCAGTTGATTAGATTCTGTTTTTCAAATGTGATTTTAATGCGGATATTTTTAACCTATTTCAAGATAAATGTACTATACATTTATGCAAAAGGGTAAAGTTCATATTGCACAATAAATAATTCTAAGCATATGTACTTTTGTTAAAGAAACAGTTTCCTTTGTATAAAAATAAGTAAATGTGGTATGATTGCCTATGAGACAACTTTCCATCAAAGACAAAATTATGTGGATGTAAGCAACTGTAGGCCACCTAAACTTTTTTCTCCTTTGTACATTTTTTCAGAATGAGCTGTAGGAGTTTGTCATGGGGACTTATACATTAGACCTATTCAAGAAAGTGCAGAAAATACAAGGAAATTCTCAAAGTGATTTTTTATATCATTCTGAAATATCAAGTTATTTACAGTAACATTTTATTTTTCTGAAAGTCTGATAAAACTGTAAGCATTCATAAGGGACAGTTCAATTTGGAAAAATAGAATTTGCAGACATATTATCAACATCTTCAAGATTACAATAAGGAAGAATGCAGACTAATTTCTTGTGTTTTATTCATCAAACCAGCATTTTTACATTAAAATATCAATGCATGAACAATAAGTAACCCAAGAAATATGTCTGTGAATAATTTGCAATGATCATATACAATGAGCATGATAGACAACCATTCACAAGACGTGTGGACACATTGTTCCTACCAAATATAGTTGTTTTATTAAATTACTGACAATAACTGAAAAAATTCTTGTGATAAAAAAACATATATTTTTATTATGGTCATTGAACCATAAAAATGAGGTCAAGGATATCGGACACTGGACCAGATGGAAACTTAAGACCCTAAGTCATAATTATTTAATGTGGATTTTGAAACTGGTTTCAGAACTTTACTTCAGGGATTCTAATTTTGTATACTTTGTCCTGAAGACACTGATCTAATCAGTGAAACATGTGGACCAATAAAAGTTGCAGTTTACTTAAGTGTTGTTGTCAATTGAGTGGTATTTAATTTTTCAATCTGACAACCCTGCATACCATCTGGTATCCACTTAAGGGAACTCTACCAGCACAAAATTTAGGAGGTGTTGGTTCAGCTGTTCTTTATTCTTTCTTTAATTAGTTTGAGAACATAATTTAACCCTGCTTGTTAGTGGTTGTCTTTAGTTATGATATTTGTCATTTAGGGGATTACATGTTGATGGCAGATGTCTCTGTTAAATTTATTCACTATACTCTGGGGGCTATTTAGAGTTTGACATATTACAACTACAACTGTTTGTCGTTGCAGACCATATGCTGACTTCTAGATATCTTTGGGTACCTATCTCATTGACATATACATATACTATATTTCCTTTTTTTCAAACTTTATGAATAAGGGACCTAAAAAAATAAAATAAAGATAATATGATTTAAACACACTAACAGGGGCAATCTGTCAGAACTGGAATTTCTTTTGTATTGAACCAGTCCAAGGTAAATCCTACTCAAATATAAGATGGAAAACTGAAAAAAAAACTTTCTACAGATAATCCTAGTTTTCTATCCAGAATTCCCCTGGACTGTATAGATTAGTCTTCATTGTCCTCATCAACAGATTTGTAGAAAGTTTACTGGGAATCTGTAGTTTTACTTGAAGGTTCCCAGTTTCTCTATGATTTATTGGTTGCTCTGGTGAACAACAAAGATGACTATAAAGTTTTTACCAAAGCTGAGAGCTGCTGTACTATTATATTTGGTACTCATACTTACCAAGAGTAACCCTGATATCAGTGAAGAGGTACCAGTTAATGCTACATAGAACTTGGGTGTCAGAGTATTCAGGAACATAGTTGGTACTGGTATTTACCAAGATTAATCCTGATATCAGTGATGAGGTACCAGTTAATGCTACATAGAACTTGGGTGTCAGAGTATTCAGGAACATAGTTGGTACTGGTACTTACCAAGATTAATCCTGATATCAGTGATGAGGTACCAGTTAATGCTACATAGAACTTGGGTGTCAGAGTATTCAGGAACATAGTTGGTACTGGTACTTACCAAGATTAATCCTGATATCAGTGAAGAGGTACCAGTTAATGCTACATAGAACTTGGGAGTCAGAGTATTCAGGAACATAGTTGCTGAAAAAAGAAAAGAAGTAATTTTTCAATAACATCCAGTTTAATCAAGAAGTTAGCCAAAAAAACAATTTATTCTTAAAAAGAGGGTGGAACATTAAAGAGTCTAGAAAGCTTGCCTTCCAAAAGAAAAAGATTTCATGTCAAGTAGGGTAAGAAATTTAGCCTTGAAATAAGCAATTCATGGATCCCCGAAAGACTTATTGAAAAATGTTCTTTAGCTGCTGAGACCATGGGACCTTCTCACTCACACTTGGATGAATAAGTGAGGAAGTTGATACCTTCATCATATGGGTATGCTGATTTGTATATTGGGGATTTTTCTAACCAAATAAATTGTTTGAGTATTTTTCATTTGCTACAATGTACAATGTTGCTTTATCAATTAAAATTTAAGAATAATTAAAAACAAATTTGCATACAAATAGAGTCAAATTTTCAAAAGATTAAAGATGTTGAATACCATCTGATCCTTTGCTTTTAGTTTTGTCAATTTATTCTGTGTCATAAATAAATACGCCATATCCTTTCTTTTCCAATCAAACAACCTTTGGCATTTGGTTCCTGTAAGATTTATACATTGTATTGGCTAATGATACCTTATTTACACATGTTCAGAATGTCACATGTATTATTTAGCAGTATAAAACCTTCAAAGGTTAAAGGTTACATGTAAAATGTCATTACTATTCATTGGACAACATTGATCTGTAATAAATTTGCTTTTTCTCAAAATAATGTAATAAAAACTCCACCAATACAAACTTAATTTGAACCAGCAAGCAACAGTAATAATCCATGTAATGAAATATCAACATGGAAGTATTTGGTACCTTTTAAACCATCATTTGATTCAAATTAATTACACATTTGAAATATACAAAGCTGCAGCTTATATCTCATTAATCCAGCTGCAGGCTGCACTTAAATTGCTTCTAAAGCTTTTTCAAATAGATTTTAATAACTTTTTCAGGCACAAGTTAAAAGAGATTATAACTGTTTATCACTAGTATGTTTCTGATGTTTACAGCACTTTTGGATATGTTCCACTGAACAAAAAATCTTTGAAAGTTTCCCTTTACTAGCGAGTAACTTGTTAGTGAATTGAATCTTCATCTTATGATAACACTTGTCACCATGTATCTGTATCAGTTTATTTTCTCTGATAAAGTCTATAACCTTGACTTTATATTTTTACCTACGACCTTGACCTTTCAGCTAGTCAAGTTATGAGAACATTTTCAGTACAATTCAACTATAGCTCTTTAAAGAATTCCAAACTTATGCATTGATTACAATTATCTATATATAAATAGTGTACTGTACACAAACTTGACCTTGACCTTACAACTAAACATTAAACATTATTACAACAACATTAATCCCATTGATGGGGAGAAAAATATCAAGTTTCAATATCCTTTAAGGGGTTAAAAAAACCTGCTTAATAAGAATGGACATGCTGTCTAGATTTTGACATTTCAGCCCTTCTCAATTATTCTAAATTTTTAGATGGAGGATGGAGAACATTTGCAGATCAATCATCATTAATATCATTCTTTGAAGTCACAAGTAATAAGTTCAAAATAACTTGCTACTACTTCGTTTAATATACAACAGGAGTGTGGAATAAAGTTATGACCTTGACTTCTGAGGCTTACATTCTTACAACCTGGGCCATTTGAAGGGGGTTAGGAGGTAAAAAAAAGGGGTAGGTCTGAGCAGCTGAGACTTCCAGTACCCAACCCTTTAAATATATTTTTGAGTATAAAAAAATACCCTATCATATATTTTCGACATAAATAGAACTATAGCTGTATTACATTATTTCACAGAGAGTTGAAATAGATTTGATCTTCTTATTTTTATATCGACAAATATCTGATGCATTGGTTTCAATCTATGACAGTGGTTTTAATCGCATCTTTGAAAAATACTTTCATATGATTCATGGTTATGATATAATCAGCAACCTTATACATTTTATCTAAATTTTCTAGCCCTTATCATATATTATGTAGCTTGTAATAATAACCTATTATAGCAGCTCATCCCTCTGTATACTGCAATTCTATAATTATGAGTTTGTTTTCTGTATACTATTAACAGTTTGCTTTTCTCTATCTGTTTTTCAATGCATACATCGTCATGGGGTGATGTACACAAGATTATGGTTTTTGTAGCGATGTTCTTTTTAATACAGGATGAAGTTTGTCACATGAGAAAACATGTCTATCTATAAACTGGTGAAGAAGAGGATTCATACAATGATTTTTAACTTAATAGAAATTTATAAAAGTTACATTTTTGGGTTGTTTGGGTTTTGTTTTATTTAGGTGCACCTATTACCCATCCCCCAAAAAAGGAGAGACAAAACAAGAAAAAGTGGTTACTTAAACTTTGACATTGTAGGCACAAAAAGCTGATAAGATTCAAATGTATTTAATAATTAGTGACAAATCTTCACACCTTTATATTCATACAGAAAGTTGAAACTCCATGACAACTATGATGTCAATCATTGTTATTGTTGTCTCAAATTAACTAAACCTATTAAATCAGACTTTGTTCTTTCTATTCCTGGTATTGTTTATCTGCACAACACTATTAAATTTCAATACTAGATATATGAATACCTGACTGCATAAAAGTCTTTGAACTTAAAAGGGTGTACAAAATTTACAAAATATTCATAAATAAAAATCAAATTTCTTTTCATCCTGAGCAACTTTAACTAAGCCAATAAGCTTCTTCATGGCAATATTTTTGACTGTTGAAAAATATGACTATACATATTTCCATAGTTTCTTGTTATTTGCACTTCTTTGTAAGGGATTATACATTAATTGCTCAAAAATTTATTTCAAGTACTATACAGTTCATTAGTTTATCTTCAATTTTCAATAGGCTCTTTAAATATTCAGAACAGAATTTCTTCCTCAAGGTTATATCACATCAACAGTCAGTTTTTCCTTTATAAATTTACTTAGGCATCATTTTATAACATTCTATAAATGTATCAAACGGATTAAATGATTGATAGCTTGCTTTTCTCCCAGTTGTATATATTTCATTCATGATGATTATCATTTGGGCATCACAAATTCAATCTTAACTTTCGGAAAATTGATATTTAGACAAGTTTTCAACTATAAAGATTGTATGATAAACTTTAGCATTGAATTCACATTAAATTCCTTCCAAATTTGAAGGAATTTAAAATAAAATTAAGTAATTTGGTAGAATCGTACAAACAGAAGCACATAAATTCTTCATTACATGTTCAGGTCATAAAAATCTCATTAAACTTTCAAGCAAAGAAAATAAAACATTCCACTGAAGTGAATAAAACAAACTAAATGATTTGATGTTACAGAATGATAATTTCCAAAATGTTCAAACTTCAAACACATCTGACTATAGTTCAGTAATCACTCATTACAAATCTGATGTAAGAGTTATGTAAGAAGTTTGTTTATGGGGGTTTTTTTGCTTCATTTTTTTTTAATCCTTTGTAACAATGCATATGATCCCTGCACATGTCTTACAAAGGTTTTATTTTCAAAGCAAAGAATACTTGTAAATCAAACATGATTATATTGTGAAATCATTCCAGCTACATTTTATTAATGCCATATATTCGGAAAATTCCTGAAACACTAAAGATGCATTAATGAAGTTTCAACCAGAGATTCATGGCAATGCAGTTTTCTTGTTGGAAGAAATTTTTTTTCTTTTAAAGGGTTTAAATACATGGGAAGTTTTAAGTGATGGATTAATTCTGGGATTTAATGCATGTTTCAATGGTTCAAATGTCCCTTTATTTCAGTCTATACAAAGGTTACCTGTGACCCTAATCTCAGACTAGTATACACATGTTATCTCAAAGCCATAGAAGTCTTTCTCTCTGCAATATATATATATATATAATTGTCCACAGCATTTATGCACAGCAAGAAAATGCTGCATACAGTGGCATATCCAGGGGGCACAGAGGGTGTACACCCCCCTTTAATTGGAAAACTTATCATTTTTAGCGTAATATCGTCTAATTTTTTTTTAACAAATGGAGTTTACATTTCATTTTCAGGAATAATACCCTCCTTTCAAAAATCCTGGATCCACCCCTGGCTAATAAACACATGATAGATGTACAACACACACTTCAGAGTCCTAATGTAGTAAAAATGGCAGTTCAAGATAATTGTGACCCTGATTCATTTTTTATTAACGAGAAACATAAAAAACAACATTTTCAGTTTGTTTTGTTAAAATAAATTAACAAAAATGTATGTACATATTAATCATTTTTATTGTTACTGATGAACAAACAAATGATGAATGAGAAGTGGCTTAAGTTTAGCATGAAATGTCTGTCATCCTCCTCAAAACCATAGGTTACATATAAAAGGTGAAAACTAATAAATACTGTTAAAACCTATAATATGTGACAAAAATATCCAATACAATATAATGTCTTCCAATAATTATAATTTACTGTACAGAATAAACACAGAAATAATCAAATATTGATTAATAACCTCTGAAGTATAAAATATAAAAAAGTAAATGATCAACTTACAATCTAACATAGCGAAAAAATAAACAGCCTTAAAGAAGACAACAATCTCTTCCAAAGTAACTTCTATATATATACAACATCTTACAAAACCTTTTATAGATTTTTATTAACGTCACTGAGACAAAATTGTACTAAAAAGAAAACGATGCTGTCTTTGTCAGTTTAATGTCTTAAGGATTGAGGAGTTTTTGAATAAGATATTGGCCGGTAATTAGCACTTCTTGATGATCTTGACGAGAAATAAACTGTGACAATTTTTAGACTACACTACATACTTTATAGAATCACAGACAGAATTATTGATCATGATACTGAAACTAGAGAGTCAGCAAGTTGTGTTTTTGTGTTACATCGTCAACGATACACAGCTTAATCCAGGATTAGATTTCTCAGCACCACATGACTAAACTGACATTTCTAA